GTGGCAATTGCGAGCTATACTTAGCTATAATTAGCATTCTTTCCCTTATATCCCTTCCGCCCTTGCGTTATCTTAATAGGGAATCCCTCTTTCGTCACTCGTGCAATTACGGTTTTACACCTTGCTGCGATCGATAGCACTTGCCTCCTTTCATAGGCATTTGCATTATTTATCCATTGATCCCGTTCATCCCTTGAATATCGGGACCTCATACTCGTCATCCCCCCGGGACTTGGAATATTCCGGACTCCTTGAAAGGCAGTCTGTTTGGTTTCTGTTTATAGTTTTTTTTTTTTTTTGATTACTTGTTAATATTGTTTTCTGTGTTTGTATGTCTTCAAAGTTCCTAAACCCTTATTCCCCTCTCCTGGCATTCCAAGCCCTCAACCTCCTTGGGCGCATTCCAAACATTCAATCCCTATACTCTATACTATCCTTGAGCGTCAATTGACCTAGATCGTATAGGATCAATCCCAGTCTCTGACGATCCGACCCCTCCCCTCCATCCTTGATTATCCAACGCCACTTGCCTTCGATACTTATCTTGCTCGGTTGGATTCACTGAACGATGTCCATTGCAACTATCGAATAAACGCCTTCGGTCAGTGACCTCAGCGGATTGGAGAAGAAGTTATTCAGTTACAGAACCAACAAGAGATGGAATCAATGAAGCCACACATCCCCCCATTGAAGATCTCGAAATCCAATTCGAATTTATCAAACTCGACCAACGACCCGAAATCTATACAAAATCGATTCTATTCCGCCTGGGGTTCATCAGAGATGACCCCTCCGTTAACACCACACGACACCCAGGACACCAATATGGAACAATTGGAGGCCCCGAGGCCTGTCTTTCACAACTATCTGCGTGCCTTCTACCCTTTCCACCCGGCCGGCAATGTCTCTCCGTCGACCGTTACACTCCCTCTGGACCAGGGAGATATCATTTTGGTACACTCTGTTCACACCAATGGCTGGGCCGATGGTACACTATTAGATTCTGGGAATCGAGGCTGGTTACCCACGAATTACTGCGAAGCATACGACCAATTAGCTATGCGTCCCTTGTTGAAGGCCTTGACTGATTTCTGGGATATCATTCGAGGAGGATGCGGGTCATCATTAAAAGACTTTGGAAACCAAGATTTGATGAGAGGCCCTATCGCTGGCGTTCGGTTTCTACTAGTAAGTACCAACTAGAACTGAGAAAACACCACAGGGCTTATGATTCCACAGGAAAAATCAGAATGTCTTACTCGAGAATCACCCCTGGTAAGGAGATTCGATGGACTACGAAGAATCCGGAAGGCTTTGCTATCGGATCTGTCTTCGCTGGTGAAAACTGCGAAGAAGTTCCAGGAAGTTGCGAATGGGGTCCCGTCGGAAGATGAGGTCGAGGCCATTTTGGACGAGATGCTTCTTAAGGCTTTCAAGATTGTTACCCGAGGAGTTCGATTCCTCGATGTGTGGAACGAGGAGGTTGGCCTAAGCAGGACTATCGCTGAGATGGATGGGCCCGGCGAGAGCCAAGGCCAGTACAGCATGCCGCCCACCCCCGCATCCGAGAGTTTCAATTTGGGCGAGGATGGGCCTGATCGATCTGAGTCACGAATGCTGGAATCACGAATGGAATCACGAATGGAATCGCGAATGGAGTCGCGAATGGAGTCGCGGCAAATGAGCTATAGCCGTATGGATATGAGTCGGTCATCCATGCGCACCGATATGGTTGATAGCAGACCGGTTTCTGTGGCTACGAAACGGGTTTCTATATCCCACCGCATGTCAGTTTCTGGTCCTTCTACTGCCATCGGTGCACAGAATCTGGCATCAGAACGGCTCGGAATGACATATGATGCGTTCCTCGGCGTGCTCGGCTCATTCATCGGGCTCCACATGCAATCCCGCTCCTCGACGGAGTTGGTTGTCACTACCCAGCAGGCTGTCCAGTCTTGCAGGCAATTGCTTAATGTCGTTGAGGTGGTGTGCGAACATGACACACATCGTAGCGTGTTTCTCGAACAAGCAAGAGAGTCAATGTGTGAGAGGTTATCCGAGCTTGTTCACGCTGCACGCGATGTATTCCGCCCCGCACACCTACCAGATGATGATCTTGTGTTCATGCCAGACCAAGGGAAACGCCTTGTGGAAGCTGCAACTGGCTGTGTTAGAGCAGCTGGAAACTGTTTGGCAAAGGCTCGCCTGGTGCTTGAGCAAATTGGTGATCTAGAGCTTGACCCTGAAAAGTCCGAAGACAGGGGCCAGGAGTTGTCTGGAATTGACTCTTCACAGAATGAATCGGAGACTCCCGTAGAACAGGAGCGACAGCTGTCCCTCCGCCTTCCCCCACCTCCTCTTCAGATTCCTAGCACCACACACACTCCCCCAACACCTGCTCTCACCGACGCCACAACACCTTCATCCTTCCAGTCTCATCCCACAAATTCTCCCGCCAACATTAGCGCTCTTTCCTCTCTCCCCAATTCTGCCATCCTCCCCACCCATCTCGAGAACATCTCTTCCTTCTCCACTGACAGTAGCTACCGTGAAAGCCATCCCAAGTCTGACGTGAGCGAATCATTTGGCCGTGGAGTCACAAGCAATGGTAGCAGCTTCACGTACAACAGCCACGCACGTGACTCCGAGATGAGTGGTTTGTCGCAAACCTCGACTCGGGCTACCTCACCTGATATTGGTGGTAGCTTCCAGGGTAGCTTCACGGTTCACTCACTAAAGGAAAGTATGAGCTACTCGACCCTCGCCGAAGAAAACGAGGAGACCGAGGCCAACATCCTGGAAAAGACTTACGCTCACGAGCTTATCTACAAGGAAGGTTCGGTCATGGGCGGCAGTCTCCGTGCTCTTATTGAGAAGCTGACGGCTCATCAATCCACTCCCGATGCCATGTTTGTCTCTACCTTCTACCTTACCTTCCGTCTTTTTGCCTCGCCCCTTGAGTTTGCCGAGGCCCTCGCTGAACGCTTCGAGTACATTGGCGAAACACCCCACGCAGCTGGACCCGTCCGTCTCCGTGTTTACAACATTTTCAAGGGCTGGCTTGAGTCCCACTGGCGCCACGATCGTGACAACACGGCCTTGGATTTTATTGTCAACTTCGCCAACACACGACTTGTGGTCGATCTCCCCACTGCTGGTAAGCGGTTGCTTGAGTTGGCCAGTAAGGTATCCGCAGTTGGCGGCCCTCTTGTGCCTCGCTTGATTTCTTCTATGGGCAAGACCAACACTTCTATTGCTCAATACATTCACCCCGATACCCCTCTACCTACTCCCATTCTTGGCAAGAAGGAACATAACTTGCTTAAGCAATGGAAGAACGGCGAAGCCTCAATAACCATTCTTGACTTCGACCCGCTTGAGCTCGCCCGCCAGCTCACCATCAAGGAGTCACGTATTTTCTGCTCGATCCTTCCTGAGGAACTCCTGGACACGGAATGGACCAGAAAGACAGGCTCATTGGCGGTGAATGTTCGCGCTATGTCAACTCTGTCGACTGATCTTGCTCACCTCGTCGCTGACTCTATTTTGTACCTGGAAGAGCCTAAGAAGCGTGCCGCTACCATTAAGCACTGGGTCAAAATTGCGAACAAATGTCTGGAGTTGAATAACTACGACTCCCTGATGGCTATTATCTGCTCATTAAACTTGTCTATGATCTCTCGACTAAAGAAGACCTGGGACATTGTATCGCAGAAGACCAAGACTACCCTCGAGCAGCTCCGTAGCATCGTGGATGTGTCTCGCAACTACGCAGTCCTTCGTCAGCGCCTTCAGAACCACGTACCCCCCTGCCTCCCATTTGTCGGTACCTACCTCACCGACCTCACCTTTGTCGACCATGGCAACCAGTCTCTCCGTACCCTCTGCACCGACAACTGTGAAATGGCCGTTATCAACTTCGACAAGCACATGAAGACGGCTCGTATTATCAGCGAACTCCAACGTTTCCAGATTCCCTACCGTCTCACTGAAGTTCCGGAACTGCAGGCCTGGATGCAGAATGAGCTCGTGCGCGTGCGCTCAAACGGCGAAACAACCGCACAAACCTTCTACCGTCGCTCCCTGGTTCTTGAACCTAGAGAATCATCCCGCAGCGGGAATACCCTCCATTCCCAGACCTCCCAGTCCGAGTCAGTTCCTTCCATGCTCGACAATGCAAAGGACAAGTTCGACTTCCTCTCATGGACCAACCAGTCCAAGGCGAAATCCGTCACGACACACGGATAAATCACTCTCTTCCGCCCACGCTATCACCTATACCATCCTTCGTAACCTAATGACTGATGACATCTTCTTATTCCCGATATACTGGTGTTTAATCAGCATCATTCAACCCATTCATTGTTCTGCTATGCATACTTGCATCATCTTCTACACCTATTTTATTGCTATCTGTGAATATCCCACCATTCTTCTTTACCTATTTGTTTTTATTCTTGGGTGGTACTATTGTGTTTTGTTTTTTGCGATTTCTCTTTCGAGAAATGCAGCATTTGAAAAGCGTCTATGTATGGAACGGGGCCTGGGACTACCCAAATGGAGTTTACCGAGGGCATTGCTCTCTTTATGTGATTTGTTTAATTTCTTCCGCTGGTCTATTCTTGTTTCGGCTGGGAACGGGGGGGAAAGGACAGGTACACTGGAAAAAGGATTGTTATCTGTCAACCGGGCGTTTCCTACATCGGATACCCTCTAGACAATATTTTTGCCTCACGGCCTCTGTACAAGAGCATCTCTTAAAAGCTGCCTGAAATAGCAAATACGCTTTAATTTCAACTGTTTATTTCTTAACCGTAAATGTAATTTCTTTTGCCTATAATGCCAACTTGTGGGTTTCATAGGGAACCCGAGCTGTCCGAATTTGGAAGTTTCGATGCCCTACCTCGCATTCTGCCTGAATACTAATGTCTGCATATCAAACACCGACTTAATCCTACCACCAATGATTTTAGATCAAACCCCACAAGCCAGATCAAAGGCTAACGTACCAGCGAGAGCCCACCATTAGCTGGCACCAACTGACCCGTGATCCAGCGCGAAGCATCCGAAACTAAAAACGCAAGAACAGGTACCAAGTCAATCTCCACATCCCCAAACGTCTCCCCAAGACAAACTCGATCATTCATAAAAACATCATGTCCCACAACATTCTCCGTCTCAAGATTCCCCCGATATCCATCAATCATAGGCGTCCAAACAGCTGGCAGGACCGCATTAACACGAATCCCATATTTCCCCCACTCGCGCGCAACAGCCCTCGTAAAGCTCTGCACGGCACCCTTCGAAGCAGTATAATGAGCCAGAAGCGGCAGAGGTTCGGACGCAAGATCAGACCCGAAGTTCAGAATCGTCCCGCCCCGAGTCTTGAGATAAGGGAAAACGGCCTGATTCATGAAGATCACTCCCTCGATATTGACATCTAGCATGCGGTCCAGCTCGTCTTCGGCGATGGTTTCGGCTGCATCTTGGTGGATGTGGCCTGCTGCGTGGATTAAACTGTCTTGCCCGCCGAGGAATCGGACTGCGGCTTCAACGTCGGTGTGGCACTCGGATCTGAATGTTGCGTCGAGGTGTTCGTACTTTATTTTAGTGTTGGGGGTTTTGGAGGAAATTCCAGAGGCTACGTTTTGGCCGACGTTGTCTTGTATGTCGCATATCACCATGTGCACGCGCGAAAACTTCGGCGGTTGCTTTGCCAATTCCGGAGGCGCAGCCTGTTATCAGGATGCGCTTGCCGGCGATTGAGGGGATTATGTGGCAGGTTGTTTCCTATAGAGGATAGTCACCGTGGGGGGTTTTGGGACGCATTTTGATTGGGATTATTGGGGGTGATGGAATTGCTTAGGAGTTTAGTTGGTGGCTTTGTGTTGCTGGTTCTTGATTACTTCTATATAGACACCTCCTCATGTTCGGTGTAACCTGGCTTTTTATGGATTAAAAGGATCCTAAATCCAGCTGAGCTATGTACACCCCGAGCTTAGGGCTGATTTATAGAGAGGGGTATCCATTGGAGAGAGAGCAATGGAGAGATACAGCAATGCTGGCTGGGAGTACAAAGGTTTGTGTTTTAGAAATGCTCGGCACAAGCGAGTAAGGTATAAATATTGGCGTTGATCTGAAGATTCGGTTGAGAACCGATTATGAGTATTATATCGTAAAAGGGCTTAGTTGAAGATGTTTCGCCTAAAACAAATGTGATATAGAAATCGACCTAGCATTCATGCCTTGCTATCGATTGAAGGTCTGGTGGAAGGGAATACTACACAAGAACTAAGACCACTCGGATTATGAGATAGCCGTCAGCTCTTGAAATTGTTGTGTTAGGGCTGAATTTGGTGGCACGTATTTAGATCCCTCATAGATCTGGTTTTACGTATTCCATGGTTCGTCATACATATCCACTCGTGGACCTATAAGTAGCTGGACGTCAAGGATAAAAACCCTACTTGAGCATTGTCTTTGGTATTAGTAAGTTGTCAGAAAGCATGGATAGCTGTTTATTCGAAGTAGTTATATTTGCTCTATCGCGGGGTTGATCCTTGCCAGTTCATTGTCTTGTTTGGAGATTGACTTGGTCCCACTAGAAGCTCGAGCTAACGCTGTCCATAAGGTTCATTTGTTTCTTGCTTGCTGAAGGATCACAATATTTAAACGTTCGTCACAATTATGAGCCTTAGTGGGAAACTAGATCAAATTAAACCGGACAGTAAACAGAGCACTAGCCTCAGTAGAGCTTTCTTATATTGGGAATTGATGGAAGAGATACAGTGCGTGGTTATTCATAAGAAGGAGAGGACCGCAATATTGCCACTTTACAGTCGAGCTCATAGATCCTATTCGGGGTTGACTTTAGCATCAGAGCGAACATTAAAAGTAAAGCAAGTAGAGGAGATAAGATTGTTGGAATAGGTACGTTCCAAAGGAGGAGTTTGAATGTAACCTTATACTAAGTGGCCTACCTAATGAACATTCGAGAGTTCTCTACAAGATATGTGGTTTTTATGTGATTGTAAAGATTAGCATCGCTTATTCCAATTTGGAAGTTGTTATACCAGACCATACATCTATGGATCCAGTTCTTGTATTGTATGTAACAATTCGATGATCTGCATATTATACAAGACATTGCTACTCAAGGTTGTGTAAACCCGTCAATGCGGTTCAATTCTATCCCTACCTCTATCAGTGGCTGGCTGATCCATCCTTGCATGAACCCCTCCGCCAGCCTCAGAAGTCTGCGGAGGATTTTCTTCACACTTTACAATACATATCCATGCAAGGGATATGTCTAAAGGACCTCAATCTTGAATACAATGGAACCCCTCAATTGCACGATTCATTCAATAGACCGCCGCCACTGAATTGAGGCATTTGAATAATGCGACTGCCTATACTCTGAACGCCAAACCCATGCAAGTCTAGGATAAATTAAAATCTTTCGACGTCCTGCACGATCTATCTGGTTGATGCGGATTCATGCAATGCAAGAATATGAAATCCACTAGGCTTACATTATTCGAGCTACACCTCGCTAGATGTCACCGCATCACATCTAGGTTTGACCCAAACAATCAAGAGGTCGTTTGTCTCGCTGTTTTATTTGTTTTATGATGCATTGGAAACACAGCGTGTATTCTGTTTGTTAATTTGAGGGTGGAGGGCAAATGTGACCTGTCATGGCGGGTGAAACCTTCAAAGCCGGTTTGAGCACCCGTGTCAAGAGGTCAGAGTGGACGGCAGGGAATTCATGCCAGTCAATTTGAGGGCCTGGACCTACATTGTATGGGTGTGAGTTCGAGTACTTGGTAACTCTTGATAGATGTATCACCTAATGTACACATTTCCATCCCGTTGCCACGCGTTTCCCATTACCGGAAACCCTAAACTTCCTATACGAAAACCAAGGTTGGAACTAAACTAACTATGTTACATAACGTGTTTTGAACGCCTCCACGAAATTCAAACTCACGCCGTCGCTATCATCGTAGCCGGATGCTCTGGTATCCAAGCCTAGCGGGAATGAAGCAGCAGTCTCAGAGAGGCATCGTAAATCAAGTATAGGGACCATTGAAGGGCGGCCATGGGCACATTGAAACGGAAAGGCACAACGGGCTAGCCTGGAGACCAAGGACTGGCACTCTTGGGTGTTCAACGGGTCATTGAACATGATAGCAGTTCGACAGGCGCGGGAGTTGAGAAGGTCCACAATGCCTTGAGGGCATCCATTCATTTGTTGAACCCATGAGCGCGAGGCGGGTGATGCTGAGGTTCCTTTGTGTACCACATCATCGCTGTCTGATAGTTCGAGATCCTGATCCGCGTCCTCGGTTTCAAATGTTTTCTTCGACTGGAACGGCTTTCTGCCATCTTCACTTGACCAGATCTCGCGCCTCATCAAGTCCATTAGCACATGAGGCTCGAGTCGACAGCGTTCGGCTATTAGGACAGGAAGAGTATGCACGGTGATCAAAACAGTAGAGTTGGTCTTGCCATGTGTGACATACTCAATACCCCAATCTGAAAAGAGACCCGTATATTTTTGAAAGAGATCACCTTCTGTCGATAAAACTTCAAATGCCAAAGAACTGACTTGGACAGTCCGCACTCGACCACCCGACTCAAAATCTTCCTCTAGCCCAGCGGATAGGAACATTTCTCTAAACAGCAGTTCAATTCGACATCGCTCATCGGCAGCGTGCTGATCGATTAAGAGCAGAACGTCGTTTGATGTCTTCTCCGAATTGAGAATGACGGGGCGTTTATGGACTTTAGCCAATATGAACTTTTTGTCTACCTGTGCTATCACTTCGGCAGTTTCGAGCGCACGACGTTGAAGCTTTCCTCGATATTTGGCAACCTGCGCTGTATCAAGAGATCCAATACCCTTAAAGCAGTCGTGCGAAGAAGTAGTTATAGTCTGGTGACCAGCAGACTCTGCACCTAGATTTTGTATTGGAATTTCTGTCCGGCTGAAGGAAGGATTGTCCCATTCTCCCAACAGGTTTTCTACCCAGAAAGTTTGAGCTGGATGCTTGGACGAGGCATCGACACAATCGGTGGGGGAACGCTGGGTAGCTGATGACTTCCGGGAGTTCATCGTTTGGCCGGTTCGAGGATTGATCGTATAGGCCAACTTGGTGCGTGGATCGATCCAGGCAATCATCTTGTCTGATGGTGAATCTCCAGCCAGATCCTCTGTTCTGGTCCTACCCTCATCAGAGACGATTTTATTTAGGGGCTTCGGAAGAATTGTGTGCTTCTGGTCATCACTTTGATAGTCTGACCTATGTTTAGAGAGGATCGGCAAGGGACTCTCGCCCTGCATTAAATCAGGAGCCGCATGAGAATTTCGAGGCGGTCGATGGGTCGGAGAATGTCCTTTGAGATCCTTAGCGGTTTTCACCCTGGACCAGTTGGCGAAGCTTTGACCAGAGTTAAGAGACTGGGCTCTTACGAATGAGGGAATCTTCAGACGACCGCTAAGCGCCTCTTCGGTGCTTGAAAGCGACTGGCCTTGTTGTAGGGTCCCACGAGAACTACTAGCTGCTTTAGAGACTCTGGAACGGAGACTCTGGGTTTGGTCTGATGGCATAGTCTGCTGTTTGCCGTTACGAGGGCGGAGATTGTGCTGCTTCAAAAATTCATGGACCATGGCCCCAAGAACATCAACTATACGTTGAACCGATTTGGCCGATTCCGGGAGATGATCAGATCCATCATCGTCCAATCGTATAACAGCGTGTGTATCAATGCGGATGTAAAACATTGGCCACTTATTGACGGGCTTTGCCCAGCTTCGAGTGCTTGCGTTACTTGGGGCATCAAGTTGATTCACCGAAGATGGAGAATGTGGAACGGAGCCTCTGCCAGACTTGTCTCCAACATTACTGAAATCCGACAAAGCAAATAGTCGGTTCACTTCGTCGTACAGAACACTCGAGCTATTGCGCGATAGCATGGGTTCGTTCCCCAGAGAGATGAACTGAACTTTCCGACTTGGGCTGGGTTGGAGAGATATTGCTCCCCGAATTGTAAGCTCAGAAATTGATGCTGAAATTTCATGCCAATTATCGAGGTTTTGGAGTGTGGTCAGCCCAGATTGTGTGAGAATTAACCCAATACGTTTGAGATCAAACTCCCCCTGAGCATGAGCGAGACATGCTTCAGACACGGAGGCATTTCCAAGACGGATGGACATCCGTTTGTTTCTTTCCACATCAAGCAATACTAATTTTGAGAATTGAGTATTGGCTAAGAGGAGAGACACCAAGGAGTTCCTTAGATGATCCCACTCTCGTTCTAGCTCGTCCGGCCGCTGAAGAGTGAGGGCTCGACTTTTGACGCGAACTGGCATGTTCCCAAAAAGGTCATTGACAGTCACAGACGTGCCATGACTGGCAAAGCGAAGCACCTGGTGTGGCGGTGCAGGGGTTAGCCGAGCAACAGGCGTCGAATGATGAAGTATGATTGAGTTTGTGGATCCATGATGAATGTGACGAGAAGTCACAGTAAGCAGAGATAACGAGGCCAGGGAAGCCAGGAACAAGCCCCGGTGGCCATATAAGCCACTTAGCTTGAATTTGGACGTATCTATTGAATGTTAGCCAGCATACATTACAACCTCAAAGTTGGGAGACATGCGATGAGCCTTGCCCAGCCCTCCTGCAGCTTCGAACTCGCTCGAAGGAATTCCATCGCCATCATCTTCAACTATACAGCCACCGCGTTTGAAATCGACAGTGACGAAGACGGTATGTGCATTGGCATCCAAAGAATTTTTGACTAGCTCCAGAATGACACCAGTCAGATGCACAATGGATGTAGATGATTTGATCTTTGCAATCACATCAGAAGGTAGCGCTTGTATTCTTGACTGAGGTGGAGGCATTGACGCAATTGGTGGTGTTCACCGGGTAGCATTGCGCCACTATATGCGAAAAGAAAGATCCCAAAATTGATTTTGGAAACACAGCTGCAGTTCAATCATGATCATCTGTCCTTGTTGCTTGCCAGAAGCCTTCTAAGATGTATCACTCAATCATTTAAGAAAGAATAAAACGTCCAAAATGCTGAGAATATGTCAAATAGAAGTTCAAGAGGCAAACATTGAAGGCAGGCACATGACGTGTACGGATAAACAGTCTCCCCGCCGGCTGCCCCATCTGCCTCGGCGCGGCTCGATCCCCAAGGCACTACTCCCTTGCCTACCTTTGACTTTTCGCAAGCCAGAGTGGATAGTGACTAGGCTGCCTCTTCAAGTTAGAATGGCTACTGCTGATGGTCCTGCTAGGGTGCATGGTAAGTACACATTGGGCCTGTTGGTCACCCTGAACCGCTGCTAAGGGATTCATACAAAACAGACCGGAATGCACGTCGCCGTCCATTCTCGAACTGGGTGAAACGCCTGGCGAACCTGAAGAGTTCTTCTGACTCTACAACAAACCGATGGTCCAACAAACGCTACACGGGTAATAAGGGCAAGAAGAGTGATCAAGAAAACAATCCATACCCGCTCTCTGGAACCATCAACCGTGATACAGGGACTCAGACACCGACCGATTCATACACGGATGGTCATTATGCAGAATCTCAACCTCGCTCCAGGAGCGACCCATCTTTGTACTCCGGCTATGAGAATCCGACTCCCCTGACAAGCGCAAAATCCGCTGCGCCAACCATTTCAACCACCGGCGACGCCACATTCTCTGAAGCAGCGTATTCCAAGGCAGGCACATTGACGACTGGCACTGAAGGATTTAGCACGCATGGAGGAGGCGAGGGAAGCACCTTCTCATCGCCTGCACCTTCGATCCGATCGATGACCACTACCCTGACCACTGTACACTCGGCGGCACCCTCGACCCAACTGTACAATGCGCAAAACGCCCACAATGGACACCACCATGGCAGCTCGACACAAAGCTCTTCAAACCAGCAAATTCAATTCTCCCACCAATTTCCTTCAACCTCACCTGCTACCGCGGTCCCCTCGCACCTGGTGCCCCAGAACCATACAATGACGTACAGCGCCGCAATCGCAAACAATGCCTTGACGGATAATGCTTCTCTTCTCACTTTGGCGAGCTCGTCTAAGCGCCGTCGTCGCAACTCCCTGGACACCAATGCATCTGTACGCGGATTGGCTCCGTCTTCTGTCTTCGGCGGTAGTCGAGAGAGCCTGCCGCTGAGTGTTCTGAGTGGTAATACGACTGAAGCATCCAATACATCTGTGTTTAACGCGTCCGGTGTACTGAGCCGACCAAGTATTGTTGGACTTGCTAGTGCTGAACGCATCAGTGTCTACTCGGCCTCCGGAGCAATTCCGCTAGCGAGCACCACTGGGGAGCGGGGCGGCTTGTACACGACTAAACAAACTGCCGGCGGCGATGCGGCCAGCACTCGCAGCGGTGCTCAATCGCACAGTCGAAATGACAGTACTGCCGCCAGCATTGCCGGGGGTATTAGCAGCCCATTGGCCATGGCTGGTCGGATGAGTAGAAGAAGTTCTGGCTGGGGAGAAATTACCGGCGAGGAAAGCAATGACGGAAAGCCAGTTGAGAAAAACGAGGATGAAACGGCGACTAAAGATGAAACCGCCTTGCCCGTTGAGCAGCTCAAGGCATGATTCTACGTCGCACGTACCCGCACACCTTTACCAGTCACAAACGGCAAGGTGTGTTTGAATGAAGTTACGCATGGATAGCCCGGAAGATTGAGCGAGGCAACAGCGATCCTTTACTACATAATGATTTGATGCATGGACACCTTCCAAGGACCTGGATATTCTTAATTGTTAGGCGGCGTTTTCTAGGTTGGGACTTTGATACCCTATGCGGTATGAACAAATTCGTTTCTATTCAATCCATATTGCATTACATGCAACTTCGGATCTTTCGTGTATTCATTAGATCTTTCCTAGATTCGGCTCTGGTTGATTACCTTTTACATGCACATACCCTCGTCGTATTTGTTGCTATCCATCAACCCCTAGCTGCCAAGACCAAGTGGTACATGGACTCCATTTCATCGGCGAATGACCATAGGCATATCGTACTGATACACGAACCAGGCATTTTGGTACCTCCATTCGTGTTTGGGATCCACCAGTTGGATCCATATCGTGAGTTAGCACTAAGCTGGAATCCAAGAAATACCGATAAACTACTCACATCGAAGGAGCTGTACAGCGAAGCAACCAACTTTTGGATCTCTAACATAGCAAGATACCAGCCCATGCAAATCCGGCCTCCCCCACCGAAAGATAAGTCGACAGTATCTTTCATCCGATGGAGGCGAATCTGAAAGTTCTCTGAGCTTTCATCTTTGCCCTGCAGCCAGCGGTCCGGATTGAAGCCATCAGCATCGCCCCCAAACAATCCAAAATCACGGTTTGTAACAAAGGGGTTGATCCCGGCCTTGGTGCCTGCAGGGAGATATCGTCCATCAGGAAGCGTGAATCCATCCTCTGGGATCACACGCTCGAAGATCATGGCAATGCCGGGGTTGACGCGCAGAGCTTCACGAATAACAGCATCTAGGTACGGCAAGTCGCGGATCTCTGTCCAGGGAGCGGGAGAAGAGACACCAGCGGCTTTGAGTTCTGTGGCATATACGCCTCCTAGGGAGCGTTTAAGAGCATGCTCATAGAAACCAATCCATTAATCTTCCGGACAAAACTTTCCTGCGTTATCACCATCGACGAATCTCAGCGCTAGCTTGTCCACAATCTTGGTTATCGTTTCATATATCTTCCAGTTTTGAACCGAATCCTCAAGGGTCAAGGCGACTGTCAGAAAAGACAACTGGCCAAGGAATACCAAGAGGTGATCGGTGCTATCAATTTACTAGAGTCTCCACTCTCGGTCATTTCCTTGTCAAGGCTCTCTGGTCTATCTGATAGGCTCATTCATATTCGATTGAATTCACTCCACTCGGTTCTGAACATACCCAAAGACGAAACTTTACCAGTGAAGCTCCTTCATCTGTCATTTCGGGACTTTCTTCTTAGCCAGGAGACACGTGCGAATCATCCAGAGTTTTGGGTGAGTGAGAAAGAGGTACATCAACGATTAGGCGCGAGATGCATTATTGTATGCTGTCGAATTCTGAGGAAAGATATCTGCGGACTGCGAGTCAGTGGCACGCCGCGTGCAGAAATTAAGCGTCAAACAATCGACAATTGCATCCCTTCAGAGCTACAGTATTTCTGCCGCTATTGGGTGCACCATGTGGTGAAAAGCAAGGATTTGAGACTCATTACAGGGATGCTTTTCGTTTTCTAAAGAAATACTTCCTGCACTGGGTGGAAGCAATGAGTATATTGGGTCTTTTATCCGAAGCTGCGGGGATTATCGATTTATTACTGTCAGCTATACATATAAGTTTATTTTTGACCTAGATCTCATGTCTATTTTGTGTATTCGGCTATCTTTTCGGTGCTAAAATTTAGATCGGATATAGGATGAGAGTTGTCTTGAAATGACTAGTTTCCTACAGGATGCTTCGCGGTTCGTGCTGAAAAACCGACAAATCACCGACGATGCACCACTTCAACTGTATCACTCGGGGCTGTTGTTTGCGCCGAAGATGTCACTCATCCGAAGGATCTTTGAAGATGAAATGCGTACGTGGATATGTGTTCCTCCTATGGTTGAAGAAAACTGGAATGCAGAATTGCAAACCCTTGATGGCCACTCGGCCCAGGTTATGTCCACGAAATTCTCACCGGACAATCAATTTCTGGCTTCTAGCTCATGGGATACAAAAATCAAAATTTGGAATGCAGCTACGGGTGTATTGAAGTTGACAATCGAAGGCCACTCACATCGAGTGATGTCAATTGCGTTCTCCCCCGACAGTCGTTTGCTATCGTCTGGCTCGTGGGATCACACAGTAAAGCTTTGGCATATTGGTACGGGAGCGCTATACCGGACATTCAACGAACATTCGGACGCCGTCTTATCTGTGGCCTTTGCCCTTGATGGTCAGGCTCTAGCTTCTGGCTCCTGGGACAAGACAATTCTCGTCCGGAATATCACCTCCGGGACACGACAGCTTACGCTTGAAGGCCATTCAAATCGAGTTTTAACGGTTGCTTTCTCCAGTGACGGAAAATTACTCGCGTCTAGCTCGTGGGATTCAACAATTAGACTATGGAATACCACAACAGGCGCCTTACAGCAGACTCTCGACATTCACTCTGATTTAATCCGATCTGTTGCATTTTCCCCTTACGGCAAAATCCTCGCCTGCGGATCAGACGATAAGACAATAAGTCTTTGGGATACTGCGTCAGGCACTCATCAAGTAACGCTTGAAGGTCATGCACACTGGGTGCTGTCTGTAGCATTTTCTCCCGATGGTCAAACATTAGCGTCAGGATCAGGGGACAGAACATTGCGACTTCGGGATACTGCAACTGGGGCTTCAAAGGGAATCTTCAACGGTCACTCTGATTCCGTCTGGTCCGTGGCGTTCTCCCCTAACAACCAACACCTTGCGTCTGGCTCAGGCGATATGACGGTCAGGATCTGGTATAATCAATCACAAAAGCAACCAGAGCAGCAAAATCTCATGGGGCATTCAGAGTTGATATGGTGCGTGTCATTCTCTCACGATGGTCATCTCCTAGCATCCGGCTCATGGGATACGACGGTGAGACTATGGGACACTACGGGTGCCCAGCAAAAGTCGCAGGTAATGAAGGGCCATACACATTGGGTCCTATCTGTAGCATTCCCTCCAGATTCCCAGATTCTGGCCTCAGGCTCAGGAGATATGACAATAAAGCTCTGGGATACTGCGACTGGCGCGTTACGTCGAACTCTTGTTGGCCATTCGGCTTTGTCATGTTTGTGAAATTTTCTTCCGATGGTCTGAGTCTGACATCTGTGTCAAGGGACGGCACAGTCAGGATTTGGAATACTGCGACAGGTCTGCAGCAGCATATTCTTCAGTGTCAATCTGATATAGTTTTTTCCGTTGCATTCTCTCCTGATGACCGCTACCTGACATCTGGGTCAAGTAGGACAGCCAGGCTGTGGCATACTGAGACAGGAAAGTTGTTGCGAAGTTTTGATAGCCATTTGGAAGCACTTACCTCTGTAGCGATCTCCCACGACAGCCGTCTTCTGGCATCTGTCGATGGTCACATTCGGACATCAGACTTCCAGGACAACACAATCCGGATTTGGGACATCACCACTGGCAAGCTACAACGGGAATTGACCGTCAAAGGACCAGTCACTAATTTGACATTTGCTAGGGATGATTCGCATCTGATAACCAATCTGGGGTCTTTTCATATCCAACCAGGATGCTGTGGCAATACCTCCCACACAACGCCGCCGCTACATTCCCATTTGTCTATCCTGAATGGCCCTTGGCTAGACCTTCAAGGCAAAAGGGTACTGCGGCTTCCTTCTGAGTACTGGACCAGATGTTTAGCAATTAAAGATAGCACATTGGCCTTGGGACACCCATCTGGGCAGATCTTCATAATACATTTCGACGAAATTATGACGTGAAAGGCGTATTAGTTTTTCGTTTTTTTTCCTTTTCAGTCATGGGTTAGTCGTTTTTGACTCCAATAAATTTCATATAGAAACTTTTGATTACTCGCTAGATATAAAACATCGAGATCCAAATACTAAATACTATCGAAGCCTACTATCAGAGTGATAAGCCTAACATTGCTAAGTTGGCGCGAGCATTTCGGGGTTCCGTACGGTCGGCTACGCTGCCGTATCTACGGGCGTAAGCCTAGTTCCGCCGTTAGTAGCCAAAGAAAGGTATTAAATCCTATTAAATAAGATCTTTAATTAGGATAAAACCGGCTTCTAAATAGGCTATGGTAAGCGCTAAAGGTTATTCCTTTCTACTTTCTACTCTATAACTACTAACTACGTACCTCTATTAACCGCTAGATAGTTAAGCATTCTAATACTTAAAATACTATTTCCGTAAGATGATCATCCTCAGTCTCTTATCTACTAAAACCCTGGAACCTGTGTGTATAATTTTGCGTATTGTCATACAGGAGAGTTTGTTGGAGTTTCTTATTTGACCAAAAGCCTACAATTGCAGTAATCGAGGAGTTTTCTGGCATTTTCAACAGAGTTTATCTACTGATTAAGCATGAATGCCGCAGTGATGGGTCTTTTGTTTTATAACGGATATACTACTAAAACGCATGAAACATATTCTTATAGCCCCCTAAGGGCAAATAATACAAGTGAAAAATAGATAAAGCAAGACAAACAAAGCATCAAGCGAAAAAGGTCGATCAAGTATCGAAGAATCCATTATTCAAGGAACAAGGGCTTTGTTCAGCAATATCTCGAAGATCGCTTCCTCCATAATTGCTGCGAATCTGCAGTGCATTAGTACACAACAGTATCAATCGAGAAAGGAACAAAATACCCACTCCTGACACTTAATATTAGGCCTCATGGCATTTTCCAGCGTTTTCAATCTCTCACGCGTCAACCGTGGAAAGTTCTTATGGTCCCTTATCCTGTTCCACGCCTGGACGGGCGTAATGTACCCATCCAAGTCAAGCCTGTCCGCCATCTCAAAGAGCCTTTGAAAGACTTCCGCTGAAACCTGCCATCGTGAATCGCTGTCGATGGTTGGGGGCGCAAGTTGTAGCAGTGTGCCTTGCATTGATACAGCATGGCCCGTGTGATGTGCGCTTGAGATATGCGACAGACATGGCCGTTCCAGTCTACAAGTTCGTGAACACAATTTCAGGAGTATGGGCGGACGATGAGGATACTTACGACAAGACAAAGTCGACTCCTATTTGGAACCATTCCTCCTCGGAAAGCTCGTCCAGGCCGTTATCTATATCATCTTCAGGGTTTTCGGTCCCGTTAGTTTGGGTATTCTTATCGCTGTTGTTTCCCAATCGACCTGTAACAAACCGATAGGACGAGGGGTTTGATATAGATGGCGGCTCTTTTTTACCCATTCTTGATGAGGAATGAATTGTGCTTCACATGCGGGTTGCTGTAGTGGAAAATATATTGGCAGTTTGGAATCTGGACGCGAAGAATCATTACCCTCAAACACAGTTACTTTGGCTAGGTAGGACTTCGGGTTTGACAGTTTCTGTGGAAGGCTGCCTGCTGCGTAATATTAATGTCCCCGGCGGTCCCGATGAACCTTTCGGAGCTCATTCGGTTCAAGGTTGCCGCGGGAAGATTATATATTACCGGCGAACGTCTCCTTCCAGCAATTTAATAAACTTGTCATTTCTCTCGTTATTCTTCGTGGGGGAATACGATGTCAGTAAGAGGTAAAGCAGAACTGGGATACTCATTACCGACCATTTGATTGGTCTCACTTGCTCACACGGTTTAGCAGTTTGCCTCATTTGACACACCTAGCAGAAACAATTTAGTACAAAAATTTAATAACATGCACACACCGTTTGCAGAGACATGTGTGAGGGCTGTTTGTAGTCATTGGGCTAGCTGAGCAACGTCTCATCAATTTCCATGTAGTTGATTCATATCTTGTGAAATCATACAATCATACAAATGAGCATAAAGACTTCCAGAGTGTTGCAGTGTGACATCTCGCAGGGTACGTGAAAAATACCGAAACTCCAAATTCCAGCCGAAGGAACAAGCATTCTTACCTTCAGCCCGCGGGATTTGAACCTCATGTCTGTCATGTTTCCATCTGTTAATTCTTGTCTAGACTGAAATATAGGCAAACATCATAATGACTAGACCTTTTGTTTTATCGACACCAGAAACCAAAACACCAGTTCTTTCTGACACTGGACCCCTCTCGTTATAGAGAGTCAGCTGGAACTAAGTGCAGCCCTTCGGGACTATAGGGTAGCTATGTCTGCGCTAGTAGCTAAGGCTGCACGGGAATTTTGTATAACCGCTTCGATTATATCAACAGCTTGGATATTTGGCCTATCAGTACGAATTTACGTTACACTATCTAAACTTATTTGCTTAGAGACCTTATCCTTCCACCCGTATACAACCATTAGATATTGTCTAACCCGGCTTTTGTTCCGCCACTCAAACTACCTTCCATATTTATATCGGCAACATAAGATGGTAACGCGGCCCAGAATTCGTGGAACACTCGGTGAGTTTTATTCGATGGCTCATATTTGCAGGCAAGCTCACTTCGACTGGTAACTTGCTGAATCCCACAAGCTACATATGTACTTTATCTTTAGAGTGGCCTAGCTGGTGCTTGGTTTCATCATCTTATTTATGATACAGTAGTAGTATTTCTTGGTTATAATTACTCGCTAGATATAATATAACATTAAAGACAAAAGTACTCTGCTCAACATTCGCAAATTGAATTGATATACTGACTAGCTCCAAGGAATCGCATCACCCTGGCTGGCTGCTTTCCCAGAAAGGCTATGCAGTTTATCACTGATGAACATTCTGTTAAATTCAACAGGCATCTTAGGTTCTACCAAGTTCAGTGAAGGCTTCATCAAGATACTAATCGACGATGTAGTCGTATAGGGACTGGCCTTTATCTTCGATGACAGGAAGCAAGCCATCCGGACTGATTGGTATGCTAAACACTAACCGGGGAATTCAAGTTCGGTGATATATATATTGACCTTACAAACTCTGTGGCATTACTTTTATAGAAATGGGATATGCAGAGCTGGCTCTCGATATGTGTAGGCCATCTCCTTTCGCCCGAAACAATTCAGCTTCTCTAAATAGATAAACATCAGGCTTGAACATAAAGTCAAGTTGAACCACTACCAACCCGAGTAAAGGAGCAAAACTGAAATCTATGCCATTGACAGAAAGCTGGTGTACGAACAAAGTATGGTATAGATGACCAATGTTGAAGACTCTAACGTATTTCACCACCGAGCCGGCCACATCACCGAGCCGGCCACCGCAAAACACATAGTAAATGCGATAAATTAAAACTTAATATCTCAACAACTATAGGGACTTCTCCTTATAGCCTTCTACTTTCTAGGTGATATCTAGTCTCTTTAGGGAGGTTAGAGAAATTTTATAACGTTATGATTCCGATATATATATTTTCGGTAATTTTCGAAATCATAATAACATAGCCTTCTACTCTCTTTGAAATCGATATATGGTACTAACTAGTCTTATAGATAGCTATCGACAAATAAGGAGCTAAAGTAAAAACATGGTTGTTGAGATATAAATGTAGAATATATCGCATTTACTATATGTTTTGCGGTGGCCGGCTCGGTGGTGAAATACGTGAACTAAAATGACAAAACCAACGATCTGTGCGGACCTCGATGACTAACTGTAATATACACTTTTGTATGGTATGCCTGGTACCCAATGTCACATGATATTTCCAGTATAATACCTGGTTTCTACCATGTATTCGGACTTAGTATTCGACAGCTATCCATGGAACTTTGCTCGTAAACAAGGAAGCAATGCTACATCCAGCCCAAAACATCAGGTCTGTTTTCTCTTGATGCAATTTCACTGTTCTATCTCCCGCTCCCATCGTGATGGGCTGAAAGCTAGGCCTCTTGTTGCCACTCCGAGGGACTAGTGTTTTTGACCCGATCCGAGCTTCGATTTGGCGATTTTGCAGACCTAGTAAAATCCACTTATCTTCAGGTTGGGTGTCGGTGTGCATCCCTACGCAGAGCAGAGTCTCATCAATTGTAAGAGGCGGGTATTTTGAGCATATTTGTGGCAGTCGCACCACGTGAGATGCCTGCCCCGTTGTAAGGCTCCAAGGTTATGAATTAACCACGCTAACGACTCATACATAATATTGTCTTGTGTTCCCGTAGTTGGGAAAGTGTATCAGCCAAATCACTTCCTGGGGGTGTGGACTGACCTTCTACCTGATTCTTCCTTGACCACTTGCTCAAACCATATCATTATCTGACTCAAATTGGAACCAACCCGGAGACTATTTCAATAATACACATTTTGCGCAGCCGAATTTCCTACTAGCCAGAAAATAGATACCCGTTCCTTCTAACATGTTTTCCTGTATTGAAAGTCAGTCTAATTAACCCAGACTTTTTGTGCCCGATATTGATTTCGACGAATATTCTACATGCTTAAGATGGGCAGCAGTACCGATACTGAGATAACGGAACTATTTGTGACCAGCCGTCGCAAATATGCGGATATTAAGAACGCTCAACAAGCAAATGAGATGACTTGAATCGGGGCTGAGCGGCTTGACTAGGCTTAAAGAGTAGAACTTAGCATAGTTCCAAGGCTAGCATAAAAGGATAGAGGAAAATGGCATGTTGCAGGACAGTATCACGTTGTGGGATCTACAAAGTATAGTAGGAAGTGTGGAGACACTAAGACAATAATTCCACATGCTAATATGTATGTTGTATGCACATTGTATCCACCATTAAAACAAGAGTATTCATTATTGTATCGAGTTTGTGGTTTCTAATAAGTCAAGAGATTCGCGACTTTATTTTCTTCCTTATACTCGGCCACCACTGGCCAGTGCGTGCACCGAAATTGATGTTAACGCCCAAAATTCTGGTAGCCAAATATTCACCAATAAAAAACTGAGGGGTAACGGGCGGTATAGCAAATTAAGAAGTTGGTGTGGTTAATTAATTAGGAAAGCGGCAAGCAACGCTAAACAGCGTCGAATCAATTCGACACTTGAATTTTAGAACCCTCGTAAGAGTATGTGCTGATGATCACTAAGGGCCTTACAATATATATGTATATCCCGTCTTAGTATGCTTGTATGTCAAGGGTTGGAATAATCCCCTAATGGTTAAGTAGTACTTTGTAGAGGAGGCACTAAAGATAAGACGATTAAAATGAGGTATGTTGATGAATAAGTCGGAGCGACTTCGGATAAACTAGGAATAACTTCACCTGAACACGAACAGCGTTTCCTCCAGGGCTGCCTTTGACGCTGACCAAGCCGGTGAGGTCCGCCAATCAGCGGTTGCAGACCCCGATTTCGGGCCCGCCGTTTCGGGGTCTGATTTGTATGAGAGCCGCGTTTGTCGCTAGGTTTATTGGAAGTACTACTACCTAGGAAAATGAGGAATTGAGGAGTAGTGCGTGATTCGTGATTCATGCAGTATTCATCTCATATCATACAGCATTGTATGCTAAAATTTATATAGAAATAATAATAATAATTAATCAGATCATCGTGGGATTTCCTAATCCGAAATGGAAACTTGGAACCGAAGATTTAACCTCGGTGGACTCCGATTCTCGGCCTTCGATCGGATTTCTATACAATTGTATACCATTCTTATATCCAAAGAGCGTGGGAAGGAGTAAAAAGGTAGAGTAAATTGGGAGAGAGAGGGAATACAGTTAATAGTTATAGGCATAGAATATTTCCCACAGAAACCAAATCCCCAGTGTCCGGATCGGGAGGCAAATGAAGCCCTGGGGCAAATTGGGGGGATTAATCATCATCCACCCCTCCGGCCCCGGGCTTCCCCCCCACTGAACATTCAAAGAAAAAACCCACTTGTGGCCCCAACTTCTCTCTTCTTCCCGGCTTCGATCCATTCTAACATCTCCAAAATCTCGATTCACACGAATCGAATTATCTAGCCACCTTGCAACAGGTGCTTCAACATCCATCGCACTCGCGACGAATCCGCCCCGAGCCGCATTCGGCATCTGAGTCACGTCTCTACTGCCTGCGCAACGCGCATTTCCACAAAGTCCAACGGCATCGAGAAAATCAGTTTGCGGTTTCTACCTCAACTGATCGTACCGGAAAATACGGGAAAGCCTTCATAATGGCCAACTACAATGGGCGTCGCATGCCCAACTTCTCGCAATACCTCGATGACTTGAACGCGATTCCCTCGCCGTATGACCAGGCCCAGCAGCAGCAACAGCAGCAGCAGACCACCTTCAACGATGAGGACCTGGCTTTGTTCACAAATACCGAGTTCTTCGAGTTCGACAAATTCACCGACTTTGGTGGTCTGCCTCCATTCCCCCAAGAAGACGAGAAGCACGAGGTCGTCTCAGACCAATCCGCGCACAATGCGGATCTGAAGTTCTTGGATTTCTTGAATGGTAAGTCTGGCTGATTTCGGTTCTTGTCATTCGCGTCGCTGGTTGAGTAGTCCCGAGTCTGAGCTGCGCGGTTGTCCCCTGATCACACCATACCCCGCGGACTTGTTCACAGTCGTTTCCTTGGGACCAATGTCTACACCTTGCATATTGTTTCATTGGTTGCTTTACGAATTCGTCATTCCTGCCTATTGCACGAGTCATGTCTTGGCTCGTCGCATTTTTGGCGCTTCGTGCGCTTCCTACCCTCAATATTATCCCATGTCCTTGCACAGCTTTGACCCCCATGGCTGAAAATTTTGAGCCCTGCATGTCATCCTTCCCGCGGCCCTAGCAGGGTTTTCTTCCACTCAAATTTGACTTGGGTCGTTGGCGTGAATGGTCTCCGCTATTACGCCATATCACGTGATCGACACCCCTTGCTCGGACTCAAACTACTCTTCGGGAAACCGAAACCTACGATGTGGATATTGTTGGAAATTGAATCAATGCTAATGGTTTTACAGCTGAGGGTCTCAATGACATGTCCGATTACCAGCCCGACCTGACCGGCTCCAACGTTCAGGTGCCCATGCACAATGCCCACTATTCGGGGCTTCCCTCCGTTCCTAGTGGGCCTGTGGCTGTAAACCAGGCACCAATTCAGCCTGCACCGATCAACACCGCCCCGAAGGTCGCCCCGGCCCCATCTGTTTCTATGTCGCCTTCTACTCCGGTTACTGGCACCAAGCGCAAGAACTCGGCAAATTCCACCCAGGAGAACGCCGAGGAGGCTAGTCGCCAGATGGCCGAGGAGGACAAGCGCCGCCGTAACACCGCTGCCAGTGCCCGTTTCCGTGTGAAGAAGAAGCAGCGTGAGGCTGCCCTCGAGCAGACCGTCAAGGAGACCACCGACAAGAATGATATTCTTGAGGCTCGCGTGTCTCAGCTCGAGCTGGAGAACCACTGGCTCCGTGGTCTGATCATGGAGAAGAACGGGGCCGACGAGCAGTCCGAGCAAGATATCTCCGATATGTTCAAGAAGTTCTTGGCATCACAGAAGGCCGATGGCTCAAGTATTTCCGACCTGAAGCGCGGTGTTGGCACTACTGTATGAAGCATTGCCCAATGCCAAAAGAGGAAAGAAGAAGAAAAAATTCGTCAAAAAATAAAAAAAAAGAAACCCCAGTCTTGTTTGATTGCCCTGCTACTTACTCTACTCTGCTGCTTCAGGTGGTGACAGTCCTGGGCTTTTCCCTGTTAGCCCCACCTCACTATCTTTGCTTTCTTGTTCATAGTGTTCTTTTTTCTAGCGATGTTATTTTCTTATTTTCTAGCAGCCAGAGCTACTTCAGATTTTTATCATCTGCGGGTCGAGGGGGTGGTGGGGGGATGGGTGATGTCTCTTCACGGCAGTTTTAAAGATTTAGATGCAAGTATTCATGTGTTTCAGCCCGGTTTTATGCCTGTCCAACTCTCCTAGAATATGTATTGAAACCCAGCGCCAGATAACCTCCCGCTTTAAGCTGTATTTTACATCTATGTTGCACTCTAACGCACAGACTAAGTTGCATATATGCCTGAGCTTGGCATTGACAACCGGATAATCCACCCGGCAGGCTCCACCCGGCCTCGCGGAATTCGACAAAAACAGAATCGATCATTGTTTGCTCCCATCCCCAGACTATTATCACATGCTAGACTTACTTAAACGCGCCTTGCGCAAACCATACACAAATGTGTATGGTCTAGACCATGCCGTCCTCAACATACAGCTCCCACAGCAGAGTATGTGGATGAACATGGGATACTGGGAGGTCAGTCAGCCCAAGTAAAGACCGTTTTAACAACTGCCTCGCCAAGTTTACCATCTTTGAATCCACACTGACCCACTTCATAGTACACAAATGACTTCCCAGAAGCATGCCAAGCACTCCTAGATCAGGTTCTCACGGCTGCGCTGTCAACGGAGAAGAAGTCCGCCGTGAGAATCCTAGATGTAGGGTGTGGCTGTGGTGATCAGTCGTTATACCTGACGAAGATTTTAAATCGCCCTTCCTCTACATCCCAGTCCGGTTCTGAGTCTGGAACTGGGACAGCAACCCCTGCTTCTTTCTCCAGTATTCCGTCTGATATTCAATCATCAAAGTCTGGCCTGCGCTATCGCTATAACAAGACCAACCTGCAATTTTCCTCTTTGCCACGCCTAGATTCCTACATCGGGATCACCCTGGAACCAGCGCAGGCTGCGCTCGGCTCAAGCCGCATTCACAATATGCAGCGAGAGAGCGAGGGCTTTATCCAGGCAGATATCTTCTGCGCAGACGCCTCAGTACCCAGCTCTTGGACTGGAGAGTTGAAGAAATCAATCACAGCTCTTGAAGAAACCTCAAACAAACAGATTGAAAATGAAAACGAAGACGCCTCTACATGGCTCCTAGCCCTGGACACGATATATCACTTCCGCCCCTCGCGCCTTCCTCTCTTGACCTATGCACACAACACCCTCAATGCCTCATTCATGGCCTTCGACTTGATAATATCTAATGATATAACCTGGTACGAAAAGATCCTTCTCCGACTGGTGTGCTGGGGAATGAACTCGCCATTCGGAAATTTCGTTTCCGAGAAGGAATACGTGGAGCTACTTGTTACAGCTGGGTATAATCCTGCTTTTATTCAGATCCGAGATGTCTCACAGCACATTTTTGGCGGGCTGGCGGGTTTCATTAAGCGCAGAGCGGAGGAGGCGAGGCCTTTTGGGGTTAAATTGGGGAAATTCCGTGTGGCGAGGTTTGCTTTCGCGTGGTGGGCTAAGAGGAGGGTTGTTAGGGGTGTTGTTGTTGTGGTGAGGAAAGAGTGAGCGTTTGTATGGTCCAGTGGGCGGCTGCCTTGTGTGTCAGTATGTATTAGATCAGCTGGGAGAGAAAATCAGGTCTCAACTCAAAAGGCGACCTAATCAGCCATGTCGTAATAAACTGTGGTGATATCGCCTTCAAAAATGGATAGTCCCAACCAATGCACTCTGATAGAACACTAGATGACGAAAAAGGAGGAAAGCGAGGCTTCCTCATTAATCCTTCCACTTGGAATCTGCACTCGTCTACATGACCAGAGAGTCCTACCCAGCTAGAAAACCATATATTCCTCCGGGCTTGCATTGTCAAAAGACCAATAAACAATGCCATTGTCCTTTCATATACAGATAGATCAAGGGCTCATCAAAAGGACGCCCTAAGTGCTTCGCCTGACTCAGTTCTCTAGCCATGGGCTGCTTAGTAGGTCAACGGGACCAGCCAAAAAGCTCATGAATAGCCTTCGAGTCAGCATGAGCAGTATGCTGTGCTTGCACGTGGCCCTCCAGATGGCCTGCATACGGGTTAATACCACCGGCAACGATGTGGCCAAACTTATTTTACAATTGGGCGTGACAACAGGCAATGGCCTATTTTTCTTATTCAGCTAGACGGTTCTTATACACTGAAATTGCTCATGTTTGGGAAATGAATGACCCCTTCAGTGTTGGAGCTCTGAAAGATGCGGTTGCTACCGCACAGAAGGAAGTCAATGGATAGAGAAATTTGGGAAGCCAGTCAAATGCTTCCCTTCCAACCTTACGTCGCCAGGTTCTACACTTTCATCGTGGTCATCTGGCGCTTCTCTAAAAAAATATCTGGCAGTAGCTCATCAACCCTCTGCCCAAAGACCCTGGGAATGTGTCTAACGGACCAGCACTACGTCATCCCGGTGTCTCACCTTGCGTCTTGTATGTTGGTGCATGCCGACACTAATCATTAGGGTAGACTTTAAAGTTGCCAATGGCTTGTATGACCATGGTGTTGCGTTGAACAAGTCTTCGAGGTTGGACTTTATGGAAGGTTATACGGAAGACGATTTGAAAGATTTGAGCAAGGATGGTCGTTCGGAAATTTGATGCATTATTAATCGGAGTACTCCGTACTCCGTCCGGAGTATATAGTGGGTGCTTCGTTGTGGAGCATAGATGCCTAATCTCCACTCCAGGCTTGAAGGGTATATGGTATGGTATGGTGTACTCCGTACCTAACATCAAGTGTGTGAAGAATTTGTTATTAATACAACATCTGCTTGGTCATATACTAATATAGTACTTAATATAGTAACTTGGAAAGGACGTGCAAGCCTCCCGCGTGGCGATTTGATTCATAATGACGTAGTGAGGCGGTGGCTCCCTCGATGACTCCAGAGCTATCTGCTTCAGTAAATTCCGAGCTCCTGAGGAAGAGAAGATTGAGGATTTACATGATTGCCAGTCGTATTTGACAAATTGCCAATATTTTAATCAACTCGATAACTAGTTAACTAACTAATGTAGTGTTTTAGTTACTAATTGCTTGGGAGGTTCTCATGCTAACATCCGTCTTAGCCGATAAGTTCGGCAGTTTGGCCGAGGCCGAAGCCGCTTAGTGGTGGGTCTAGACGATCATAGTTGCATTCGGCGCTCCTATTTTTTTGGTGAAGTTTCTATAAACAAATTGTCCGCTCTTGGATGGCGAAAAAAAAGCTTTTTTTCCCCTACATAATCCAGGCACCCGGTACCTTTCCGATCTTTCTGACAGTCCCAACAGGGGAATAAAGTGACTGCAGCCAAGAAGATCTGCAAGATCGGCCCCGACTATAACCTCCGAATTCATAAAGCGGCCACCATTGGCAATATGGCCGATCAGCTACCTGAGGCCGAAGGGTCACATCTGTCGAGCGAAAAGCCACGGACTTCAGCTGAGATAGAGAGACAAGCTACGTCAGGCTCTATCGGATCATCGACCGGCTCAAGCGTCTCCTCTGTATATGACCCGCAGGTGCATCGGCTACAATCGCGGAACACAGAGCTGGACTTGGAACGTCATCGGACCGGGACATCGAGAGCATTAAGCAGGACTGAGACACAACGCGCCCAGCATGCGCTCACTGTTGGCGAGAGTCTTCGGTCGCGACCGTCGCGGGCACCATTGCCAGCTTTTGGTGGGGACAAGCCCTACCCTCCACCTCTCCCTGCGCGGGAAGATTACGTCGTGGAGTTCGATGGACCTGATGACCCATTATACCCGCTGAACTGGCCTGTGAAGAAGAAGTGAGTCGTTTCATCACGCATGTGCAGATCGTACTGCGCATTCAACTTACTACATTTATACTCCAGTATTAACTTTTTTACTCTAGATCCTACATTAGTGCCATCCTTGCCTTCACCAGTATTTGCTCCACCTTCGATTCCGCTGTTTTTAGTGCTTCGTCTAGTAATGTGTCGCAACACTTCAGCGTTGGCCTCGAAGTCGCCGTTCTCTCCAGCTCTCTATACATCATCGGCTACGCCTCAGGTCCCCTGATATGGGCTCCCCTATCTGAACTCCAGGGCCGTCGTATCCCCATCATCATCGCCATGTTCGGATTTGGCGTCTTCAATATCGCAGTGGCAGTCGCAAAGGACTTGCAGACACTCATGATTTGCCGATTCTTCTGTGGTATCTTTGGCAGTTGTCCATTGGCAGTTGTGGCTGCTGTTTTCTCTGATATCTGGGACAACCGCACCCGTGGTGTTGCCATTGCCATATTCTCCTCGACGGTGTTCCTAGGTCCTCTCCTGGCACCTTTCATTGGAGGTTTCATTAACATGTCTTATCTCGGCTGGCGCTGGACCGCCTACATCCCTGCCTTTATGGGCTTCGCCGCTTTCCTTTTGAACATTTTCTTCCTAAAGGAGTCGTACCCACCTGTTGTCCTTGTGGCTAAGGCCTCGGAGCTACGTCGCCGGACTAAGAACTGGGGAATTCACGCGAAGCAAGAGGAAATCGAGGTCGATCTTCGAGAGCTGATCGTAAACAACTTCTCTCGCCCGCTTCGACTACTTTTTAACGAGCCTTTGATCCTAGCCGTCACCATCTACCTAAGTTTTATCTATGGGTTGCTCTACTGCTTCCTGACCGCCTACACCCTGGTCTTCCAGGGTGTTTACGGTATGAACGCTGGTGTCGGAGGTCTCCCACTCTTCGGCATGGTGGTCGGTCTGTTCACTGCCGCGACTTATATCATCGTCTCCAGCAAGGCATACAACAAGAAACTCGACATGAATGGTGGTGTGCCCGTCCCCGAATGGCGTCTCCCACCCGTGATAGTCGGCGGTGGTCTCTTCGCTGCTGGACTCTTCTGGTTTGGATGGACTGGTTTCAATGGTACCATCCACTGGATTGTGCCTACCCTTAGTGGCCTATTTACTGGATTTGGGCTTCTGATCATTTTCATTCAATTGTTCAACTATCTGATTGACACATATCTCATGTTGTATGTCATGCTCTCCGTTCCCGCAACTGATGGACTTATCTAACATATTATACAGCGCCGCATCGGCTATCGCAGCAAACACATTCTGCCGCTCGATGGTGGCAGCCAGCTTCCCCCTTTTCTCACGCCAGATGTTCCAAGGAATGGGTATCCAGTGGGCTTCCACGCTTCTTGGATGTGTCGCGGCCGTCCTTGTTCCGATTCCCATTGGTTTTTACTTCTTCGGTAAGAGGCTAAGGATGAAGAGCAAGTTCGCGCCATTTTATGAAGCGGTCCAGGAAGGACACGCGGCTGAAAATGCCGAAGAACAGGCGGAGGTTGTGCGCCGGTAATGAACATATAATTGCTTTGCTCTTGTATATTATCATATTCCCATTAGGGAAATGTAATTATAAAAGTCAATATTTTAGCGTTTATGTTTTGCATGTCTCAATAAAGCAATCTTGATTCAAACATCGTCCATTCTGAGTATGGCAGAAAAACTGTAAATGTCAGATAGAGACCACATCCAAATAATTACTGATTTACTATCTAAACCAATTTGTGTTTTATAGATAGCCTACATTTTCAAGTCCGCGAGGCATAGAGATGGAGACCTCAAGAAGGTGGTGACCTTGTCGTTGAATCGAGTAATACACGCAGTAAAAGACGGCCTGGTCGTGATGTATTATCCATCTGAATTGCGCGATACACGGCCTACTATTCCAATATACTCTATCTCATCTATCTCTCGATACTATCACTAGATGTGGCCCTGCGTACAGATGCTTGTCTTTCCTCCTTTAGGTTTAAAACCCTTTACTTTGGACCGGTAGAACATATATATTACGTTCTAACCTTCGAACAGGGGCCCTCAGCTCTTTCTACGACCATGTCAAGGCCAACCCCGTGAACGCATCTAATGTCACCTTTCCTGATATACACAGTCCACAGCAGAATGCTACCTACTGTATCCCGTGGATTCCGAATGTGAGTTTGGCCATGCGCAAAGTTTAGCTATCAGTGGTTGTTTGCGAAATGGTCATTCCACACAGATAGTCCGCAGAAGGACTACAAGGTTGTTTCTTCTTGTGTACAGACACAATGTCAAACACGGGGAACTGTGGATGTTGTAGTGTCGTAGTATATCCTGATTACATTACATTACTCTATAGCCACTCGTTTCTTACATATATTCATATCTATAGTGCATCGTCGGCTCACCACCAACCTGTTGTGATGGAGTGTGTACTGATTTGAGCTCGAGTGTTGATAATTGTGGAGCGTGTGATGCATCAACGGTAAATATAAGATCAAGTTCTTAAGATATCGGCTATTTATAATACTCTACTGACGCCTTCGTTCCAATTAGTGCACTGGAATTCAACCCCATTCGACTTTCTGACTGGCGTAAAACAGGGTCCGTTGCCATGTACTCTTATTATCGCGCACCCGGTTTGTATAGGATTCTAGGCTGAACCTTGTTGTGAGCACGAGGTGGAAAGAGACAACGAGAGGAAGGGGATCCAAAGAAATGGCCCACAGACCACGGACTATGGCAGATTAGTTTATCATAGAAAAGTTAACTATATGTTGATGCGTTTATTGATATCATATACGCTATGTATGATGCGTCCAGGGGTTTATTGAGATTTATAAATGTGCGAAATGAATATGCAGACGAAAGCCTCGTTATGTTCGTGACAGGTCGTTATGAAGAGGACTCTTTCATCCAAGGCACCTCGACATCAAGAGCGTTGGCCACTCTTGTCGCAGAAGCGAGACACCCCTCGAGCAGAACCATCCCGTCCCAGCACCAACCGCCAACGAGCCAGACATTTCCATCTCCATTCTGCCAAAGCTGGCTCTTGTCATCTCCAGGCGTCTTCTGGCGGAAAATCTGGTTGACGATTTGTCTGCTGGTGGATGATCGCAAAACACGAGTGAATGTGGCAGTGTACAAGACCTTCTCGGGGTCAATCGGAGCGATAGGGCAAGTAGTGATGAGAGCGGATGACGGATGTTCATGGATCGTCTCAGTCGCCGTAGCATTTGAGCACATATGGAGGGGGTGAGGTGCTGATTCGCCGGGGTTTAAGGACACTTGCGCCCAGAGGGATTTGCTGGAATCCAGAATCCGAGAAAAGTCGCGGTGCACAACGGACTGAACGGTTGTTGTGGGGACGGCCTTCATTGCGCTTCGCAGAGGCTGGAAAATGGCGCCAACCACATCAGGAGTCACGGCCAGAACAACATGATCAAATAACTTTGAGCTGCTCTGGCCATCACGGGTATCTATCCAGCTCACTTGAACTCTTGTGCCGATATTCTCCACCGCTGTGACCTTCATGCCAAGTTTATACGTCAAGTCTTCGGATAGCTTTTGCTCGACATGCTGAACTCCACCAAGAACAGTGTAGTGCTTCTTACGGAATGTCCGTCTCCCATAACCGACTAGATCAAGAGCTGGGAAATCCATCAGCGCGTCGTGCGAGCAAGTTGCAACGCTCGCGAAAACCGGCAGGAAGTAGTTTTTCAGGTAGTAACTGGGCAACATAATCCTCTCCACATATTGTCGCAGAGATTCCTCCGTGCCAGACGACTCCAGTGTTTTGGGCGCTACAAAGAAGCAGCAGGCTTTGAACCAATAATAGCATATTGCCAGATAGCACATTTCGATCAGCCACCCAATCCATGATAAGCCCTCCGGACGCAAGGGAGGTAATTGGTGGTTATTTGAGGAATGCATGTAGTACGGGGAGGCTTGGTTTATGGTATTTTCTGGTAGTGTCGACAGGGAGTAAATAAACCGTAGCGAGCCATAGGGGATACCGAAATAATCGTACATGCGCTTGAGACTTTCGTAGTATCCGTCGGCGAATGTGCGCATGGGAAGATCGAGGCGTTCGAACTTTGCGCCTCCGCCATCCTGGGTTGTGAGGTTGTATGACGCGGAGTCGAGCGAAAGTTTGTCTTGCTGTGTGTTTTTGTTGGGATTAGCTTTAGCTCGCGCGTGAGGTATCGCAGGTTCCATTTTTTTTTTTTTTTTTTTTACCTTTTCAAATACTTCGACGTCGAATCTCCCCCGAGAGTCATTTCTGAGCATGTATGCGACCACTAACCCAGCCATGCCCGTGCCAATTACGGCAACATTTTTGCGCTCGTTCGCCCCCATGGTGAAGGAGGGAAAGGTTGATTCACAGATTCAGGTGCGGAAGAGCGTATATGATCATTCCCCGGGTTGAGGGGAAGTTATTAAGAAATTCGCTTAAAAGCTGACCGTGGTCATGCAACTTCCAACATTTCAACCATTTCAACTTTGGCCTTGTGACAAAAGTTAATCGTTGACCCACATTTATGTGAGCTGGAACGCCTCGGTCTAATTTCTTATGCACTCTGATCTATTATGCAGAGTACAATAATACATTTTATACATATCAGTGATAGGCCCATTTGATGATCTCAGACCGCTAAACACCCTGAGATGAATGGCGTTGGGAGCAAAAGAGAATAAAGGATAAGAAATACGAATGCCGGGATAAATTGGCACCAAACCTTGGTGTGAACGAAGGATAAGATTAGCGGGAAATGCAGTGGCTAGTATAGCAGCCTATGTTGGACTTAAGCTGCAGTGTATTCTCTTCTCTTCTTTGTTGACTTTTGGAAAGTCTTGAAGCTTTTTTTGGGGGGAAATCAATTCGTCTGTATTTGTACAAGTCTTGGCTCAGGTAATGGATGAACCTCGGGATCCATGGATCAACGCCCAGATGACATAATCGGGTTGATCTCAATCCTTATCGGCTTATCATCACGTGTGTACTTGTTGACGCGTGATTTGGAATTTGGACTCGAGAAACTGGCTAAGCACGGGAACAGATCAAGATATGGATCTAGAGGCATGCGCCTGCTATTGATATAAGACGATCTTGAATCCCCCCAGGTATTGGCACAATACCTTGTGAACTACGGCCATGGCGCGTCCTAAAGCAGTCCGCGCCCCGACAACAGCGAGTCTTCCAAATAACCTCCGCATTCCCTCATCGACTCCGTCCCTCACAAAATCCCTGGGAAAACTATCCAGACAAGCACTGCTGGACCTGGCATTTACGTGGCTTGACGATCGCAACATTGCCTCATTTCCACCATACCTACAGGCCGACGAAGATAACCCCGACGATGACGAAGCCCTCCCATACCCCGCGGGGGAGACAATCGAAGAAGTCCGCCAGGTATATGAAGATCTGCAGGACCGAAAGGGCGCAAAGCGCGAAGTTCTCGAACGAATCCTAGAAGGCGATTGGCGGCATGGAATCACCTTGCGCCAGCTAGCCATGGCAGACCTCCGCTACATGGACGACCACCCCGCCAGCCTTCGATGGACCGCGCTCGAGCTGAGTCGTATTGATACCAAGCGCAAGAACTCCCAAAAGATGCCACCCGCTGACTGGTCCGGTTCTGTACCGCGCATGCAAGCGGCAACGTTTGTGCAAGGCCTACAACGAGAAATCTCCCCATTGGTCAAGGCCCACTACCACCTCGCCCACTCGGCAACACTGCCGCTGACATTCTTACGTATCTTCGTCGTCGACTCACCATATCAATCCCCTAGACAGGCCGCCGAGATCTTCACTGACTCGTCCCGAGTCATCTACGTCGCTTTCCCAGATAGTTGCCCTTACGTCTACACTTCCATAGCAGCATCCACGGGATCAAAAGCTGCCCCTTCGCCAAGTTCAGTGGCTACAGATACCAGAACTCTTCAGCGTCTGGTGCGCGATTCCATTCCCAAAGCTTTATCTCGCCCACAGGAACGATTTTCTCTGCAGGCGACATCCCTGGCAGCAAAGAATCTGCCTACGCTCCTAGCCCTCCGAGGACCTGGGCGATCAACGGCATCCAATGGCGCCTTCAGCATCTTTGCAGACGCAGCCATTGAAGGAAGTCCGTTGGACCCTCGACCTTCCAATACAGTCTCGCCCGAAGAGCATATTCAAACGAGTCATTCCGGCCCAGCAGAAGGCAAGGAAAACACAAATGGCTCCGCGGCAAAACGAAGATCCAGCAGTATTGATACAGTCCCCGTATCTCCAGATTCTAAGAAACGCCGCCTAGCCATCCACTCTCGATTTGGGACATTGGGGTCATCACTCGCCCCAGCACCGCTGGACCGACTTGATATCCGACTCCTCGACACAGCGGGCTCTAATGAGGAACAAGATGATGATGTTGATGATTCTATGTCTACCTTACCTGCTGTGTCACTCACTTTCTCTGGCTCCGATGTCATTGGGGGGATTCGCAAACTTGCCGAGTTAGGCATCGTTGACCCTGAGCGTATGCCGTCGTGGATGACTGGCGAGGAAGGTGTTAGTGTTGCGACTGTTCGCCTGGGTCAACGGCTTCAAAGGGATATATAGAAGAACCTGTGTTTGGTGTTCTTGGATTTTGGGGAGTTGAGAAGCTTGATGTTTCTTTTTTTTTTTTTGTTTCTTGGGCCGTTGGGGCTTAATGTGATACCCGGATTTGAGATCAATGGATCATTTTTGTTGCTTTTTTGGGTTTACCAGTAAGAGTGAAATTGTAAGATCTTCCAACCGAGGGTAGTAACAATTGTATGTAGCTTACACTCGATATTGAAGATTGTAAGAAAAGATATTATATTCATTTGGATGTATCCAGCATAAAAAAACTCTATCCAAGTACAGCACTGAGCACCAGTATTTCTGCGATAAAAGAACACCACAAGGTGACTCCCGTTATTCCAGGCCGGGTAATAAAGTAATCCATGCTTGGACTTGCACCGGCTAAGAGTGAGCATCACTCAATGATAGATTTCTCAAGGCGAACCATTCCCAACACCATCCTCCAAAAACAAACTGACTCGAAGTAAAAGGTTAAAGATAAGAAGACACCACAACAAGAGATAATTCCGCAACAGAACTGTTTCTCGCTCTTACATGCCTATAGAGATTTGTATGATGGCACGTCGCCTAGTTCAGTCCAAGAAGCACATTGTTAGCAGGAGTTCCTCTGGGGGGCCATAGGTCAAGATGTGTGATGGACTGTAAGCATACTAGTTGTCGCCCACGTTCGGATGTTTCGGTATACTACAACGTTCCTCGGTTCCGACAGCCTTTCCGGTGGAATGGGGGGTTTCGTGTTCGTCGCCCTTCCATAGGACTTTGCTACATGCGGACAGCTGTTAAATTTCAGGTTCTTCTTAGGGCTCGGACAAATTGTCATCACTTACCAGTAGAGACAACGGACAGCATCATTGGATGCCTGCATAGTGGCTTCCCATTTCCCGAAGCAGGCCTGATGAAAATTGCTGCCGCAGTCCTGACACCAAGTGGTTTTCTCGTTAGGTTTGAAGTCGTAGAAACAAATTGGGCATTCGCCCTCGATTGGCTTCCTGTCTCCGGTGGAAGTAAGGGCGGTGGTATTCAGTTTTCGTTTCAAGGATAACGTAGCAAGCATCTCGCGTAGTTCCTGATTAAGCAAGTGCGTTAGTGATATATATAGACAGAATGATGCTTGGCTAGGATTTGCAGAGACTCACAGATGGCAAAAATGAGCGCTGGTACCTCAATTCTCCAATAACATTCATCGCGGATAGGACTTAGCAACAGATTAGCAAAGAATAGAGAGTGGTAGTTGGACTGTAAGGGACAGAGTAGGTATGTATTTGTTGAGTTGTTTGAGACTTACCAAAGCACATGTGCTTACACTGCACCTTCCGGAATCTGACATCTGGACAGTCACAGGTGGGCACTTTGCCAATGATGGTTCTGTAGATGTTGCCAGTCGACCCAACAACTTCGAATGAGATTTTCGGAACGTCTTTGGTTCCGCCAATACCGTGTCTAATCATATACATGCTAAAAGCAACACTGATTAGCAAATCGAAGTATGCCATATTCGTCAATATTTACTTGCCTTTGACGTTTGGTGCGTTGCTCTCTTTCTATAAACTCGTCGGGAGGTGAGTTTAGCCATGGAAGCGCGCGTTTCTCAGACATGAGTACTTGGAAGGCACTGAGTGGAGTCCTCTTTGCAACTTGAGCTGGGTTCTCGGGCATAGGCTTGTGACTAGGACCAGCAGGCTCGACAGTGGGCTCGACTTTGGTGTCGAAAGTATCAGGGAGTGAGGGCCGCCCAGGAGAAGAGGAAGGTTTTATATCTTTTACATGGACAGGAACTTTAAGACATGGGATACTTCCATGATAGTATGGAAGATAGGATTTTCAAGGAAAGTGAACCACGGACAAAGCATGCATTGCAACATGTATGTATTACAGCAAGCAATATCTAGAGGCGGCTTTAAGCACGTGAAGTGTCATATGACTTTGCATGAAGTCTCATGAAGATGGGAATGGCCTTTGTTCTCAGTCGTGTTTGTTCTCCGTTCACTTTGGGTTTTTCATTATTGTAAAACAACCCTGATCGCAGTGGTCTGTACAGAAAGATACAGTAAATAGAGGAGTCTGTAGTGGACAGCACATCTATATCATGTACGTCCGTATGTCCGTATGTACTCGGCCCTAAAGAACTCTTGGAGGCTCCTTCCCCATTAGGTAGTAGATGCTCTATTTCCCAGGAAGATATGATGCCAATCAAATACGTTACATATGTATAAATCTAGGGTTCAACGCTTTCAGCAGGCATCTATATGTGGCCAGTCAGTAAAAAGAGACGAATAACCTAGAACATTTGAAGTCCCAGGTGGTATACTATTTGGGAAAGAGCGGGTGTTTGCACTGTTTGTTTGGGGTAGCTCCCTATCGCTATCAGCTCGTGGAGAACTGTGGACTTGTCCCTCTTTCATCAACAAGATGACGCTATACTGCAAAGCCCCGGATTACAGCTAATTCTTTCCCTCATTTCCACTTTGTCTCCTAGAACTTATCTTCGAACTTGTTCTCCATGTCACGTCCACGGGCTCTATCGGGTGCTGATGCTCCGAAGGAACCACATTCGGTCTCCCTCAAAGGTATGTGAATACAACCCATAGTTGGACTAGCAAGCTAATTATGGATTGATTAGTGTTGCGGTAATTCCAATCCTCAATATCCGTTGTGTTGATGGCAGCTCCTGACTCTCAATACGCAGCCTTGCGCGACCGTCACTTTCTTATCAGCATCCCCTCCCAACGTCCAACACCATAATCTCCTCGAAAGCCTCGTTAAGCTATCCGTCCGGTGACTCCGATGGTCAATTCATTTTAACACCTCTTGTGAGACGGCTACCAGACACCCCCAAGAAACTGTTCACTGATGCCAATAGCTTACTCTGCCCCCCTCCTTCGGATCCGTCTATGTCGGAGAAACCTTCGGATGCACACTCAGCGCGAACAACGAGATCCATGATGATGACAACGACAGACTCCTCACATCGGTGCGCATAGTAGCGGAAATGCAAACACCTTCGTCGGTCGCGGCACTAGAGTTAGAGCCAGCCAGTGACTCTGCATCAACAGACGGGCTCAAGATCGGCGAGTCATTACAAAAGATTGTACGGTTTGATTTGAAGGAAGAAGGAAATCATATACTAGCTGTCAGTGTCAGCTATACAGAGACAAAGATCGGCTCAGACTCGCAGGCGGCTAGTGGCCGGGTCAGGACCTTCCGAAAGTTATACCAGTTTGTGGCACAGCCCTGTTTGAGTGTTCGGACCAAGGCGTCCGAACTTCCGCCGCTCGAGGTAAATAATAAGTCACTCGGTCCATATGGGAAGACGAGGTTACTCCGGTTTGCCCTAGAAGCACAATTGGAAAACGTGGGTGAGGGTGCGGTGGTGGTCAAGGTATGAATTTCCTATCAATCCCTAGCGAATGAGTGGATTTTCCACGGAGAATCGCGGCTGTACCTGAAAACCGGGCTGGGCCGGAAATTCTCAACGATTTGGCTAACGTCGGGGGATGGATAGCAAACGAAATTAAATCCCAAGCCACCGTTCCAATCAAAATCCCTAAATTGGGACACCATGAACCCGGACATGTCACCCGCGGCACTGCCTACACTCAATCCACGGGATGTCTTACAGGTAGCATTTTTAGTGGAACAAGAAGAAGGCCAGAGCGAGGGTCTTGAGACACTTCAGAAGGACCTGCGACGGGACGGTCGTGCCACACTGGGTCAGTTGTCGATTGAATGGCGCGGCGCGATGGGAGACAAGGGGTTCCTGACGACGGGAAACCTGATGAGCCGGAAACGCACCTGAAACGCGGTGTGCAACCAATCCACTGGATCGCTTCCGCTACTGTATCATGATATGGACACCGATTTGGATTAGTGCATCCAGCCGCCGGGTTGCATGGAGGGCGCCGCAAGGGCGGCTTATACATATTTCCAATGGCCCACTTACACAATATTACCATTGGCATTGGCAGCAGCGTCCTAAATTGGGGTGTACAGTGTAATATATTGGGCTCTGAATATACCAACACAATCTATGAAGGCCTGACTCACTGCCTGAGGCTCTGGAATAGAGTCCAGTGCATTGGCCGATTTCCCCAACGCCATTAGCACGGAGCGGAAACCAGCCCATGCAGCCGACGCTTAATTTTTTTTTTGTCACACGGCAGTTGCCTCTCGGCAAGGAAGCTCCGGATATTTGCACACTTCAGCCGGGCATTTGCCCTATTCCACATAAGGCTTGCATAAAAGGGAAAAAAATGAAACGGGAATTCGTCCTCGGCCCAAGGCCACGTACTCTACGGGATGCTACATATAGAAATGATATTTCGGGTATGTATACATGTAAAGGTCTTTTAGAGCCCAGGTTCGATAATTATGGAGTTATAGAAAGAGTCTAGACTGTGGCTGATCAATGGGGTTCAGCTGTTTACAATTGTTTTTGTTGCCCGATCTGTAAAGATCATTATCTACAATCTGTGTCTCACACAAACTTCTATTTTAGTTTCACTCATCTTTCTATAATTAAATTTTTAGCATCTTTTTTTGGTTTGCGAAGATATGGATTTCAGACTACAAACTGTTTATCTGCTCCCACCGCCTCTTCTCTCCAATTGAATACACACCGTTGACCGCATTGGTTATATGCAAGTACTAATGCACACGGGGAGATGGTTGGAATAACCTTGCCCGAAATCCTGGGATGCGACCAGTCGAAAAGGGCTATCAGTGCAGGGGAGGCCCCTGTGTCACGTATGGGTACCAGCCGTGCTCATGGCGTTCAATAAACATGTATTTGGACTATACTCTGTACTAGTAATAGTACAGGGTAAGTATAGTGGTCTTGTGGACTGGTGTTTATTAGTCCACAGGTGATATTTAGATAGCCACACACGTGGTTATAGATATAGAGTACTACACTATGTAAGGATACAGAGATCCTCGGGGGATCCAATGGAATACTGACACTGGAACGAACTGTGGAATTTCCCGTAATCATATTCCAAAGGTTTTATTATGAAATCGATACCGTGGAAACCCAAGCGATGCTTTCTTTCACCATTTGCTCCACATTGTCCAACTATAGTATTGATCATCTCCCCGGGACAACTCACTCCACTTGGTGACTCCTGACTCGAAATTCCATTCTGTACGAAATACATCTATGGTATCAATTGATGTTATGCACAGAAAAACACTTCTACGGAGTATTCTACTGCGTAGAATAAACGTTGGGAATATAAGTAGAAAAAAGAAAACAAGCCGTTGAGCGTACTCCGCAATCTAAAAAAGGAAGATTCCCACGAGGGAAACGGTAAAGTAAGAGCCCACAAACTCCCAAGACCTCGGTTCCCGATAATCCCCCTGAAAGTCATATAAAAAAGAATGACATTGTGGCGTATCAAGCCAAAACCCCCTAAAAAGAATGATCATGTCTCAATGTCTCGACAGAAAATGAAATCCTTCACCCCATAGTATATCAGTTGAACTTCGTTAAAAAAAGGATCAGCCAAGACCCGCTTGCATTATCCGAAGCTCAAAGCTCAACCATGGATCACGGGCCTCTAACCCCCTGGGGCTGATGCAATAGTTCCAAGGGCCTTTTTTCTTTTTAAGTCATCTATATAGGTATTGAAATAGGGGAATACCCAGGTATATACATATGTAGCTACACAGCAGTTAATATAGACATGAACAGCGAACCCGTATTATGGGTATATACCCCGGAAGTCTGGATCCCTTTAGAGTCTGGGCACATGCAGGTTACAGTGTCAATTAGTCTGCATGGATGCTAGGGCTGTGAATGGCCCGCGCCCTTGACTCCTTTGACCTAACTTTGGGACTTGACATGGGCAACACTTACCATTTTTATACAAGTGGAGTACTAAGTAGAGATGTGCGCACATTTAAATGTCGGGTTCTAGTAACATTACCACGCCTACGCAACCACCCGTTATCCTAGGGGGAAAAAAAAGAAAGAGAAAAAAAAAAAAAAAGAAAAGACTGAAATATATATGAAGACAAGGAAAATATTTGGGTAGAAAATAATACATCGAAATACAATAAACAGAATAAAAAGATAATCACAGAACTCCTTTTTTAATACGTTCGACCTTCAAACCAACCCCGAAATTGATCTTCACTCTGAACTGCCCCTCCCTCCCGTTCTCCCCCATTTTTATCAGCTTCCCCCCTCCTGACTACATGCGCTCAATTCTGCGCATTCCCTTTCCTGGAAATCGTGCGATCCATGTGGTGACAATTAAGGCATTAACCCGCTACAGTCCGCCGTGACTCTCTCCACAATGCCATCGTCAAGCACCTCGGAGGGCGCCCCCCTCGCCGACTACTTCTGGATAGCCGGTGTGGATGGTACAGAGATCCTGGACACCTTCCAGAGATTAGGAGAAGATTACCGTGCCAATGGTGCCGTATCCCCAGGCCCTGCGCTCGCAGACACTATTCAGGAGGACGCCGATGCGGAGGAGGAACATAACCCGGATGGGGTCTCCCGACCAAACTCGATGCTCTTCGCCGGCACCGGTCACAGGGGCTCAGCCCAACGACTATCCACGTTCTCGAAGACCTCGGAAGGAACAAATGGTGGCAGTAACAGTAACCGAAGCAGCATGACCGTCAAGGGTGCCTCATCGCCTCTGCGTGCCTCAGCTTTGTTCTCCGAGGACTTCGATTTCGACTCCGCGCTGTACAAGTTCGCCAACGAGCGGGAATCTTTTCTAACTGACTTGAGCTTGAGCGCCGGCGCCATTACCCCGAATACC